ATACTGTTGAGGATGAACTTAAAAGTTTCTGAAATTCAAAGGAATGTTTTTATCATTTAAAAGGATTAGTCAATTGAAATCATGCTAATTTTGAATATGGAACATGTTTAATTTTTAAATGTCTGAGAGGTTTTCATTTGTGAGTGAAAGGAATTCTCTCATATAGTTTCTCCAGAGCCAAAAACAGAAATGAAGACCCTGAGATGGGCAATTTCACAGTTTGCTTCAGTGGAGAGGATTGTAGGAGAAGATAAATATTTCTGTGAAAATTGCCATCATTATACTGAAGCCGAACGAAGTCTTTTGTTTGACAAAATGCCTGAAGTTATAACTATTCATTTGAAGTGCTTTGCTGCTAGTGGCTTGGAGTGAGTATTATAAATAAAAGCTATATGAAAAAAATGAGCTGCTATAAGAAGTTTTGTTCAAAATACTATAATAGTAACAAAAAAGCGTAATAGCATAATATAAACTACTGAAATGAAGTAATTTATAAAGACTACCTTAGAAAAGTCTGTTCTGCTTTTAAGAGTTAACTTATAAAAATGCATCATTTTAAGTCCTTTTGGTGTAAATACATATTCTAGGATTTCTTCCCACATCTTTTAATCTTCATTCCTTATTACAAACAGTTTCAAGTTGAATTGATTAAAGCAGCAGATTTTATATAACATTAAGTTTTTTTTTTTTTTGAGGGGAGGAAAAGGCAAGATAGTTTCATTTTCAAGGTAAGCCAGGAGTCAAACTAGTTCTTTCAAGAATGAGAGATTCTCTTCTTGTTGAAAATCTAAGTATCTTCATGACATATATACATGTTAATGAATTGTTTGAAATTATGAGAGCTGCCTACTAACTCTCTACACACTTTATTATGCCTGAAGATGACACTTAGTGCCTTCTTTCTGTGGATAATTTCTTTGCTACTATTTATTTTTGTTTCCAAATTTTGGTAGTGAAAGCCTCCATATTAAAATTACTTACTAAACTATAAAGGATTTTAAAGTTAAAATGGCATTTAAAAAACTGATTTTCTCATTGTACAAAATTAGAAAAGTAAAGAATATGAAAGGGAGAATGCCTTATATCCTTCACAGAAAGAGCTGAATATTAGCACTCATTTCAGTTTTTCTTTGTGTACATTTAACTATAAAAAATTAGAGTCTGGTTTTTATGTTTGTATAAGCACTAAATATTAAGGGCCATTCAGACATCTACTTGGTTTCACATTTGGGGGTAAAACTGAATATATATAAAGTGGAATTACAGAAAACTTTTTTTTTTCTTTCCTTCCAAAGGTTTGATTGTTACGGTGGTGGACTTTCCAAGATCAACACTCCTTTACTGACACCTCTTAAACTGTCACTAGAAGAATGGAGCACAAAGCCAACCAACGACAGCTATGGATTATTTGCAGTTGTGATGCACAGTGGCATTACCATCAGTAGTGGGCATTACACTGCTTCTGTTAAAGTCACCGACCTTAACAGTTTAGAGCTAGATAAGGGAAATTTTGTGATCGACCAAATGTGTGAAATAGGTAAGCCAGAACCACTGAATGAGGAGGAAGCAAGGGGTGTGGTTGAAAATTATGATGATGAAGAAGTGTCAATTAGAGTCAGTGGAAATACACAGCCAAGTAAAGTTTTGAACAAAAAAAATGTAGAAGCTATTGGACTTCTCGGAGGACAAAAGAGCAAAGCAGATTATGAGCTATACAACAAAGCATCTAATCCTGATAAAGTTGCCAGTACAGCATTTGCTGAAAATAGAAATTCTGAGACTAACAATACTAATGGGACCCATGAATTTGATACAGACAAGGAATCCAGTGACCAAACAGGCATTAACTTTAGTGGATTTGAGAACAAAATTTCATATGTAGTGCAAAGCTTAAAGGAGTATGAGGGGAAGTGGTTACTTTTTGATGATTCTGAAGTAAAAGTTACAGAAGAGAAGGACTTTCTGAATTCTCTTTCCCCTTCTACATCTCCTACATCTACTCCTTATTTGCTATTTTATAAGAAATTATAGAGTATTTTCCTTATGTATATATTAAACAGACCTGGACAAAAGCTGGTAAAGTTGATTACATCAGAGTCTAGCTTATCTTTTGAAGCTATTGGATATTATTGGTCTCTCTAGGTTTTTATATAGTGAAATTTGAATTACTGAAAACCATGTTAATTTTTAGAATTCATTTCTCATAGTAGAGACTAGTGATGCATTAGCTTCTGGAAACAAACTTGTATAGGTTCTTAATTGAATTATTCAAATGGGAAGCATTTAAACACTTTTGAATTTACACCTATCTTTGTGTTTGCTTTTTAAAATAAAGTGCTTGTATTTGTATCTCCATATTTTGGAGTAATTATATGATGTTTATAGGTCTTGTGGTTTTTCAGCTAAGAAGCAGAATCTCATTCAGTACATTTAGTTTTATAAGTCATGAAGCCAAATCTTTAATGGGTTGTATTTAGAGGCACAAAGTCTGGAATATGTGTGTATTCACAGTAGTGTATATTTTGTGCCTTGAATCACTTTGAAAAGTATCTCAGAAAATCTGGACAGCTAGTCCCCTTTTATCTTCACAAGAATTTTATATGTATTTATGAAAATGATTCTGTATTCTAGTAAATCTTCTTGGGCATGGACTAATTTGTATCTCTTCATAGTCATATTCTGCACGATCTGTATATATAGTATATCAAATTTAGAGGTATGACCTTAAATTTAACTTTTTTTTAAAAACCGGGAGGTCAATAAAATTTAAACTGCTTAACAACTATGTATACAACTCAAATTTTTTTACTTGCCTATTTTTTAATAATTGTAGCTGAGTTCTTGTAAGAAAATGTATGTGTATGTATAATATGTGCATATATACACACACATACCTAGAAGAGAATAAACATGCGTAATTACCTTTAATAATACTGTGATAGTTGGAGGTGAAGAGATTTTTCAAATAGGAGAAACTGCTTAGTCCATCCATGTTGTCATATTTAAGTTTATAGTAAAAACTGCATTCTAGTAGTCCTTTAAAGTAGACGTAACTTTATGGAATCCGTAAAGATGATGCTTTGTGCACACACAAAAATGTTAAATTTTCATTCTAAATGTATATTAAATTGGTAAATGATCAGTTACCTTATGGCTTAAGACATTAAAAAAATCTGAATATATAATGCCATTAGAGTAACACTTCTATACCCCCATTTCAACAAATAAGAGTACCTGTCAACTAATAAATTAGTCCCACAGTTAAATCATGTCTTCTGTTCTTCCACAGGATGGTGTGATATAAAATGTCATGGTTCTCACCTCATTCTACATTCAGAATCACTAATGGAACTTTTAAAAAGAAAACAGCCCTGAACACTACCTTTAAGTTTCTGATAGAGTAAGAATCATTAATGGAACTTTTAAAATGCAAAAGCCCTGAACACTACTCATAAGCTTCTGATGGAGTAGTTCCAGGATATAGCCTGGGTCTCATACTCAAGAGAGAGCCAAGAACTATTGGTATAGATTCTTGATAGGAGAAAGTTTTAAGAAAACTGAAGCATGTGGAAAGTAAGGAAGTGTTCAGTATCATACGATTGTTCTCAGAGGAAGCCTGTTTTTATTCAAGTCAGAAAACTATTGCACGGTAATTAAATCACAATTATATAAATTCTAGAGTTCTTGATACTGTCACTGAGATTTATGTGACATATTCCAAGCTCTTACATGATATAATCTAGTAAGTAATGACCTAAGGATTACTTTATATTCTCTCCTTTATATATACCTCCCCCATCCCTTGCCCTTAAGAGGAGAGAATATTTGTTACCTTGTATTTGTTTTAATGAATTTCCATTCTTGACTCCTTGTATTTCCTTATTGTTCATGTGGATCCTCTGTCCCCAAATTTGTTTTTGAGATTATTCCTTTCTGACTCCAGTCTACCCCTTTTCGTCCAACATTGTTGACTCATCTGAAAAATCTTGTGCTTCAGTCTTTGGATTGATGTAGATAAGATGAATTTGAGATAATACTGCCAGTTATAAAGGTAGGCTGCAGAAGGGTATCAACCATCCCCTATAGTCTCAGGAGAAGCAGACATTTTTGAGATCTTGGTTCAATATCAACTACAGAATGAAGGCACCATATTTAATCGGTTTTTAAGTGATTCATGTCATTGGTCAATAGATCAAGGACATATTAAAAATGATGCCTTTCTATAAGCTGTATTACTACACAAAGAAAAAACTATTGAAAACACTTCCAAAAATCATTAATAGGTAGTTTTTTGGATAAACCTGGCCCAAAGTAATTGCAATAAATATTTTCAAAAGGATTTTTGCCTTAGTTTTTCATGTCAAAGTTACTTTAAATTAGTTCTTAAAACAGCTAATTTTAAAGTTTATATAGGTGTTAAAAAATTAAACTTTTCATTCAACTGGTAGATTAAAATCAAACACCAGCTCTCGGTGTCCTTTTTATGGTGATGTAAGATAACTCTAAAGTAGATTTCTAGTTTACCAGTTTAAATGACCAAACTCATAAAATGACTGGCTTGTTTAATTTGAAACACGGGAATCATTCACTAGTTGCTCAAAGTCATGAAGTTCATATTATCAGTATAACAAGACTCAGAGTCAAAGATTTAAGCTACTGTGACTGGTAGCAGCTATCCCAGTATTTAATTGTTACAGACAAAAGTTTCATCAGGTAAAGTTACTCTATAATTTATCCTAAATCCCTGGTTGTTTTTGTTGTTTGTTTTTGGCTCTGTTTTTTTTTGTTTGTAAGTGGAAAATAACTTAGAAACCTGTTTTAAGACTTCACAAACCAGTTATCCATATCTATCTATACCCATTTATTCATTAATTTTGGGCTCTTTGGCCTGTACAATGTCAATTTTCATTTTTAAAACTTTGCTAGTTTTGGAACTAGTTCTTGAATCAACTCAAGATTCTCTGCTTTTGTCAATAATAATTTTTAAAGTCTCAGTAAAATTAGTGTAAACGTTCACATATTTAATAGTACCTTTAAAATAAGCATTACTACATTTAAAATGGTTCCAAAATGAATCTATAAATGGTAATATAAATTAAAAAATACAAACTTAAAGTAAATAAATTTAACATTAGCTATGGTATAAATAATAGTAAATGTATAGTGAGTCATTACTTTTGAGTCTTAAAAAAAGATAACAGCATATTACCAGAACATGAGAAACCATGGCCATGATTCTCAAACCTCAGTGATCTACATTTGATACTGTTTTGGCCACCACATTCTTCAATGAGTAGTAAATTAATGCTAGAATTTCCAGAATTAAGCCCCAAGTCCTGTTTTTCAATAAATCTTTTCACACTCAGTGTTGAATACATGGCTCTCTTCAAATGAGTAAGACAAGTACATTTATTTTAAAGATCCATTTTGCGCAGGCTCATCCGACTGAAGGAATCTCTGGGGAGAAAATGAAAGGATATAAGTATAAATAAGTTTTGCATATTTCTTTAAACTATGCTTTACAGACTTCTTTCTGCAGAGCTATCTCAAAGTTTTGCCATCAGAGTTACTAACTTTCAAGTTACATGTCCATCCTATACATTCTGCTTTATATATTCTGGTTTTATAGATCAAAAGTATATTACAGTAACCACTTTGCCAAATGCATTGACCATTTACTCATTTGTCCAAATTAGATATTGTGATGAAACAGGAGCAAGGAATAAGGTGAGAGATTTCAGAAAAAGATTTGTGATTATTAAAAAGAAAAAGGCAGGGTGCCTGGGTGGCTCAGTGGGTTAAGCCGCTGCCTTCGGCTCAGGTCATGATCTCAGGGTCCTGGGATCGAGTCCCGCATCGGGCTCTCTACTCAGCAGGGAGCCTGCTTCTCTCTCTCTCTCTCTCTCTCTCTCTCTCTCTGCCTGCCTCTCTGTCTACTTGTGATATCTCTCTGTCGAATAAATAAATAAAATCTTAAAAAAAAAAAGAAAAAAAAAAAAAAAAAAAAAAAAAAAAAAAAAGAAAAAGGCAGGTGCTGGTTATTTACAATTTTAAATCCTAAGAGTTAAGCAGTTCTCAAACTCCTCCCTCGGCGTTAGGTCCTTTTTACACTTAAAAATTGAGGACCCCAAGAAGCTTTTGAAAGTGGATTCTACATTGATACTCACTATACTAGAAATTATTAAGGAAATTTTAAATTATTATTTAATAAAATAACCCATTACACGTCACTATAAATAGCACTGTTTTTAAAAACTCGTAAGAATTTTAGGAGCGTGGCATTCTTATTATTATAGACATTTATTAAATGTCTAGCTCATAGAAAGCCTAAATTCTAGAAAGCCTAAATTCTCATACCTGCTACTGCATTCAATCTTTCACAATATTCATATTGCATGTAGTCTCTGGAAAACTCTTAAGAATGAGAGTGAAAAAAGTGAAAAACCTTTGGTAGAAACCTCACAGGGTTTCAGGGACACCCTTCCACGTGTTCCAAGGTCACACTTCAAGACCGACCCTCTTAATAGCTTTTAAGCCTACTGCAAAATAATATTCCAGGTTATGTTAATCAGCAAAATTCAGATTCAATGAAAATGCTATTTTCTAAGTTCTCAAGAAATTAACAGTGAAGAGGATAATGTTCTTCAATACCTCTTAATATCTTTTTCTCTATTCTGAAACTGGTTTCTTTCAGTTTATCCTTCCTCCAATTAAGGTTAAACCCTGAGGCTTAAATCTCCAAGAAAAGTGAGGGCAGGTACAAAAAGATCATTTTTGAATCTCAAAGCTTGGTTTTCTGGTTCCAGGGAAAATACCAGCCTTGAAAGCTAGACACTGTTCACCACACCAGCAGCCCCCGCACCAAAGTGTGTTCGTTAATTCCAAAAGAACAATATTAAGAAAAGCTTGGGGGACTGACCATAACATAGATCACAGAGGAAGGCAAAACTCGGGATTACAGTGTTAAGGGAAAAACTCCTTTAGATTGGAATGATAACAATGTTTCCACTAAAATGGGCTGCAAATTTGAAGGAAGCAAGACTAGCATTCCCAAAGGGCCTGATTATGTCAAGGACCCAGTACCCTCTTCCCAGGACCTTGGACCAGTGAGTTAAGAGGAGGTGGGTAAAGGCAACAAGGAGGCAAAAATTCCAAAAAGACTGAAGGGAAGCACAAAGTAGAGGGGACTGGCACTGCTTCCCACTGAGAATTTTAAGAGGAAATGTATCAGTTATAAGATGGTGGATGCAAATTATATTTTGCCAGAGACAGGATTTTTTAATTTAAATTTTAGTTAACATACAGTGCAAATTGGTTTCTAGAGTAGAATTCAGTGATTCATCACTTAAAATACCCAGCGCTCATCGTAACAACTGCCATCTTTAATACCCATTCCCCAGCCCCTCCATCAACCCTCGGTTTGTTCTCTATCCTTGAGAGAGACGAATTTAGAAAGGCCCCCATCTCCGTCTGTTACTGTACAGCTACAACAATGCTCCATGTAGGGGACATGACCTACAGCAGGCCCTTAGTAGACCTTCTTTGAATGCATGTGTGATTTTTTTTCTACATCACTGAAGAACAGGGACTAATTTCCAGATGATCAAATAGCTCATTTCACTTTTGTAGCATGTTCTACCATGCACATACATTCTATTTTCATATAAGCAACTTCAGAGGTCTTCCAGATATTAACTTATTAACAATGTAATAGCTTTACTGTTGTTAGTTCAAAGAAAAGGGTGGTAAAATATTCAGTGGTTATATGTATATTTGGATTTCAAAATGAAAAAAAAGGGCAGTTAAAGTTTAACAGTTATGCCCTCTTCAGAATTCAGGTGCTGTTTTAACACTGTCCTTCGAAATTCACATGCCTAAAATTTAATTTCTATAACAACCTCTTAAAGGTAAGTATTATTTTATTTCTCACAATTAGTGGAGAAAAATACTCAATGGGGCCACCTACTTTAACACAAATATAGAAGAACATACTGTAATACTATTTTACTCTTAGGGCCAAGGAAAATGAGTATTTGGCTCTTGATACATTCTAGTAAATTCTGCTATATAAATAAAGTATAACAGGCCTAAAAGAAATAGCTTTCGGAGGCCAGACTATTGTGTCTTGGTTAGTATGCATATTTAACACAACTTTATTATTCTTTAACACAACTTTATTATTCTCAAATTACAGAAAGAACTGACTTCTATCTTGAAGGTTGATTCATAACAGGGTTATTCATAATAGGCTAGTTGAACTTCCTAAGTTTCAAGAGACAATATCTGAAACCACGTAATAAAATTTACACTAATTCATTATTATTGAACAATTCGAGCGGATTTCATTTTCCTGAAGATATCCAAAATAATAGGAAAAAATGAGCATACCTGTGGCAGGTGACAGGTAATACTGCCTTGTATAACTGAGGGATCTTTCTGTTTATCAGAGGCTGTAAGGCCTCTTTAAGGCGATGATAGTTTCTCTCCAGTTCCCTTTGATACTCCTTTTGATCAGGCCCAATTAGGCTCTTATTTTTTCTTAAGGCATCCTCACACCTAGGAAAAACAGCGTGTTACCAAAAGATTTCTTCTGGCACAGTCTGAGAACTGGATGCTACTACACACATTCACCATGATAATGTCATTCAGTTTTTCATTGGAACATTAAATATTCACTCTTGCATTGGGGGTAAGGCAGGGGACAGAGATGAACTTGAGTTCTTTTACACTAACATTCACTTAACCGTCTTCATTTAACTAAAAATTATATATTTTTGAATGTTAAAACTTAAGTCATTTTCTCACATATCACCATCAGACTAAAAGCTCTTTAAGGGATTTTACCCTACTCATTCATGTACCAACAATGGCATCTGGCACAGTGGTCTGCTGATATTCAAATAAGCTGCTTAAATGAATAGTCCTTGATAACAATCCTTTGTCCAATTTATTCAGATATTTAAGAAAAAGTACCTGGACCCTAACAGATCAAGTAGTAGGATGTTAAACAATGTACACATAGCTCGCTGTTTCAAACACTTAACAGAAGAAAAAAAAAAAAAAAACTAACAACCAATGTACACATATCACTACTTAACAGAATTGTAGCTAAGTGATGTTCAGAGGAAAATGTATAGTCTTAATTTTTTTTTTTTTAAAGCTAAAAGCAAAGAGCTTAGCAACTTAAAAAGAACAGAACAAACCTGAAGTCAAATCACAATCTTTACACACAGAAAACAAACTGCAAATTCTACTAAACATCTTAAGAACAGGCAATCCCAGTGTAACACAATTATTCTACAGTATGGGGTGGTGGTGGGGAAGTGTATTTCTGAGAAGAGTCTCAACTCCTATTTCAAGGCTGGGATACCAAAACCTAATGGAACTAAAAAGAAAAAAGTGTATTTTAATCTCCCCATAAACACAGTTGCAAAACTCCAACAAGCAAGACAATAGCAAACTGTTCCACCAATGTCACACACACCCCTTTGATAACACTCTAAAATTTGTCATGATGAAAATTCAGCATAACAAAAATAGGTGGGAACTTCTTTAACCTAACTCAAAGCATCTATAAAAAACCTGAAGAAAACACTATCCTCGATGGTGAGCATTTTTTTCCCTTTTAAATCAGGAACAAGAAAGTGATGTCCTCTATCACACTGCTATTCAGAATAACATAGTACTGGAGCTTTGAAACATCACTGTAAAAAGGGGAAAAAATTCTACAGATAAATTATTAGAATTAACAAGTGAGTCTGGCAATATCCTCATGTAAAAATATAGAATTCAACTGCACTCTGTATACCAGCAAACAAAATATAATTCTAAAAGATATTAACAAAAGCATAAAAGTATGAATTGCCAAGGAATAAAATCAAGATATGTAAAGCCTCTACAGAAAATCAAAATATTAAGAAAACAAAAGATCTAAGTGAGAACTAGGTCACATTCATGGACTGGAAGAGTCAAGTTCTAAAGAAGTTCCAACTCTCTGCCAACTTATCTACAGATTCAGGTTATTAGTTTTAGGGGGGTAGAGAGGTGGAGGGAATGATAAATTGATTCTGTAATTTATATGAAAAGGAGAAGGGCCCAAAATAGTCCTTGAACAAAAGGTGAGAGAAACTGCTCTACTAGATATCAAAGCTGCAGTAATTAAGAGACCATGATATTGGCTCAAGAAGAGAGGAAGAGAATAATGGAAGATAAGATCGCAGAAACAGATGCATACCAACACGAGCACCTGATTTATAATATTTATTATACTTTATAATAATACCACAAAGCAGAAGAGAAAGGGCAATTTTTGAAATAAGTGGTGCTGTGTCAACTGGATATCCATATGGAAAAGAAATCTGACCCCAATTCACACCACAATTAATAAATGATATCCAGATAATTATCAATTATCAGTATGCACAAAAGTCAAACTAATCCCCTTGAACCATCCTCAAAAATCAACTGCAAGTGGATTTAAAAAAATAAAATAAGCCATTTTTGCCTTTTCCCCCTTTTGTTTAACCCATATTGAAATTTTAGAGATACCATTATATTGGGTTTTAGAAGTCAATATAGACTACTACTATGACGGGGGTGCCTGGGTGGCTCAGTCAGTTAAGGGTCTGCCTTCAGCTACGGTCATGATCCCTGAGTCCTCCTAGGATAGAGCCCTACATCGGGCTGCTCGCTCCACAGAGAGTCTGCTTCTCCCTCCCCCTCTGTTCTCCCTGTTTGTGCGTGCTCTCTTTGTCAAATAAATAAAATCTAAAAATAAAAATTACTACTACAACTTCACCCAAAAAGTAATCTAAGATACAAAAAGCAGTAGTCATAAAGAAAAGGCTGAATCCTTTCGCTACATTAAAGAGCTTCTTAAAAAAAAAGTTGTAAGCCCCAAATTCAGATATTTGTGATACTTACAAATAATAAAGTATATATCCAGATTATGTAAATACTCAAAAATCAGTAAGGAAAAGAATCCATTAGGAAAGCAAAGGACCGATATGTAACTTTACAGAGAGGAAGGTGAAATGGCTAACAAACACATGGCAAGATATTTGACCTCTTTGAAAAAGAGAAATGCAGGGGTGCCTGGGTGGCTCAGTGGGTTGAGCCTCTGCCTTCAGCTCAGGTCATGGTCTTTGGGTCCTGGGATCGAGCCCTGCATCGGGCCCTCTGCTCAGCAGGGAGCCTGCTCCCCACTCTCTCTGCCTACTTGTGATTTCTCTCTCCATCAAATAAATAAATCTTTTAAAAAGTGAGAAATGCAAATTTAATCCATAATCCATAATCATACCCATCAAACTGGTAAAAGTTAAACCGTTAGAGAATACAAAGTAGTAGTAGTTATATGGCAAGATGAACTCTCAAATACCGGTAGGATTTAAATTTGTCTTCAAAAACACTTTGTTTCTAAGTTCTTAAAAGTTTTTAATTTTAACTTCAGTATAGTTAACATATAGTTTTATACTGGTTTCAGGTGTACAATATAGTGATTCGACATAGTCTATACATTACTCAGTGCTGATCATGATAAATATACTCTTTAATCCTCCCCCCCTCTGGAAACCATCAGTTTGTTCTCTATAATTAAGAGTCTGTTTCTTGGTTTCCCTGTCTTCCTTTTTTTCCCCCTTTGCTTAATGGTTTCGTTTCTTAAATCCCACATACGAGTGAAATCATGTTGTATTTGTCTTTTTCTGACCAACGTATTTCTCAGTGTTATACTCTCTAGCTCCATCCATGTTGTTGCAAATACCAAGATTTCATTTTTTTATGGCTGAGTAATATTCTGGTGTGTGTGTGTGTGTGTGTGTGTGTGTGTGTATAAACCACCTCTTCTTTATCTGCTCATCTATCTATGAGCATTTGGGCTGCTTCCATAATTTGGCTAATGTAAATAATACTGCAATAAACACAGAGGTACATGTATCCCTCTGAATTAGTGTTTTTGTGTGTTTTTTTTGGGTAAATACCCAGTAGTGCAATTACTACATCATAGGGTAGTTCTATTTTTAGCTTTCTGAAGAAACTCCATACTGTTTTCCATAATGGTTGCACCAGTTTGCATTCCCATCAGTAATGCACTAGAGTTCCTTTTTCTCCACATCATGGCAAATGGCTGGTGTTTCTTCTGTTGTTGATTTTAGCCATTCTGAGAGTTGTGAGGTATAGTTTTCATGTGCGTTTCCCTGATGGTGGTGATGATCATCTTTTCATGTGCTTGTCAGCCACCTGGATGTCTTCTTTGGAGAAATTCCTATTCATGTCTTCTGCCCATTTTTCAATTGGACTATTAGGGTTTCTTTGGGTGTTGAGTTGTATCATTTCTTTACATATTTTTTTTTAATTTTTTAATTTATTTGACAGAGAGAGAGAGAGAGATCACAAGTAGGCAGAGAGGCAGGCAGAGAGAGGGAGGGGAGGAAGCAGGCTCCCTGTGGAGCAGAGAGCCCAATGCGGGGCTTGATCCCAGGACCCTGGGATCATGACCTGAGCCGAAGGCAGAGGCTTTAACCCACTGAGCCACCCAGGCGCCCCTCTTTACATATTTTGGATACTTACCCTTTATCAGATACATCATTTGCAAATATCTCCTCCCATTCCACAGGTTGCCTTTAGTTTTTGTTGTTTTCTTTGCTGGGCAGAAATGTTTAATTTTAATGCGGTCCCAATAGTTTATTTTTGTTTTTATTTCCCTTGCTTTAGGAGACTTATCTAGAAAAATGTTGCTATGATTGATGTCAAAGAAATTACTGTCTGTACTCTCTTCTAGGATTTTAATGGTTCTGGGTCTCACATTTAGGTCTTTAATCCATTTTGAGTTTATTTTTGTGTGTGGTGAAAAACAGTGGTCCCATTTCACTTTTCTGCATGTAGCTGTTGGGTTTTCCCAACACCATTTGTTGAAGAGACTTCTTTCCATGGCATATTCTTTCCTCCTTGCTTAAGACTAACTGACCATATAATTGTGGGCTTATTTCTGGGTCTTCTATTCTGTTCCATTGATCTATGAGTTTACTTTTGTGCCAGTCCCATACTCTTCTGATTACTACAGCATTGTAATATAACTTGAGTCTGGAACTGTGATACCTCCAGTTTTGTTTTTCTTTTTCAAGACAGTTTTGACTATTTGGGGTCCTTTGTGGTTCCATACAAATTTTAGGATTATTTGTTCTAGTTCTGTGAAAAATGCTGTTGGTGAGTTGGAAAAGTGAGCAACTCTTGATCTCGATGTCGTGAGGTGAAGGCACATGCTGGGTACAGAGATTACTTAAATATATAAAACTTTAAAAGAAACGTTGTGGGTATTTTGATAGAGACTGCAATAAATTTTTAAAATGCTTTGGGTAGCTGTGTGTGTGTGTGTGTGTGCGCGCGCGCACGCGCGCGTGCATGCTTCCATGAGCATTTCCTCTTTCCATTCCTTTCTGTCAACTTCAATTTCTCTTATCAATGTTTAATAGTTTTCAGAGTACAGGTCTTTCACCTCTTTGGTTTATTCCTGGGTATTTTATTGTTTTTGGTGCAACTGTAAATGAGACTGCTTTCTT